GAACCTTTGCCAGAGGATGCTAGCATTTTGGCAATTAAAATTTGGTTTTAATCGTTTGAGATTTATATGCCAAGCAGAACCTCCTCATGAAGCAGGCTGTATATTCTCTAACGTGCAAAGAATGTAGTAAAAGTGGACACTTTGGCTAGATAGCAAACCATTCCATGAAAGAAAGCTCATAATTTTCTTTACAGTTTACCTTTTAACAAAAACTTGCATTGCTTTTCACTGTGAATTACTTATACAAGTTAAAGAATAACTGAAGAAAATACTGATTGACCCTAAAAGAGAAAAAGAGATCTTTTTGCATAGCTGGTGACCCCTCTATTTGCTTATACAGTCATCACTGTGGTGTGACCAAATGCTTTATTTGTACAAAAAAGCAACAAGTCCAATTCTTTAATGGATGTGTTTTGGCATTTTTTTTTAAGATAGGTAGTGATACTTTCTTTGAGAAGAGGCTGCACTCTTTTTATACCAACTCCTGGCAGTCAATTAATTTGTACCAAGCAAAAATTTTCTATTGGACCTGCATATCCACTTTTATATGTAAATAACATATTTTAGAAAAATGTTATTTTCTTATAATGTCAGAAAACCAAAGTTAATGATTATTTTAATGGTGTACAGGAAGTCTAGCATGTTAAGAAGTAAATTATTGATTATCTTTTTGTACAAAAAACATTTGCTATAAGAGATGTTATTTTTGAAAATGTTTATATTTAGTTATTCAGAATAATTTTAAATTTTAGTGAAATTATGCTACTATTTCTCTAGTAATAAATTATTCATGGATTATGTACTAAATGATCTGTGTTTTTTAAACAAGAGATAAAAAGGAGTGTAATTCATATTTCTGGTAAGGATTTAAACGCTATCTGATAGATCCAAAGCAAATAATCTTGGTTTTAGCAGCTGGTCCTATGCACACATAAGTGGATTCTAGATGAACAACGTCTGGCTGATGTCCTTGCAGTTCACGTGGATCCGACCTGATCATGACCCTCTTTTTGTAGCTTTGACTTTTACTAGTTTTTCTGATAGGAAAGAAAATTTTCTACTCCCCTAGAAGAGCCATGTGTGAAACTACTATGTATTCACCTTGAGCTAAAAAGTCTGTAATCTTGTGATGGAACCGGAGGGAAGAATATGGGGAGATCAAGAGGTTTTAGCTTCTGTTACAGAATTACCCAATTTGTCCAAATGTGTTTTTTTTTTTACCCTGGTGCTCTGTAGAAAGCATCAGCAAGGAACATTTCATGCTGATGATTAGTAGGCAGAAGACATGGATTTTGAGGGACAAAAATAATGGGGAAGTGAAAAATGCCTTCCCTTCTAAACTAGGGAAGAAAACCCAAAGGTGATGTGTTAGGATTTCTTTCTCATGGCTAGTCTCAAGGGAGAATATTTCAGTGAGTTGTCAGGTTCTACAGGCAGTGAAATGAAGGATATTATCTAAAGTAATTTGAAGTGTTTTGGAAAGTAGGGGGAATGGTTAAAAACTAGAACTAAGAAAACCTCAGAGGCAATACATTGCTAACCAAATTATAGCTTTTAAATGCCGACACAAAACAAATCTTAGCAGCTACTCATTACTACCATACCTCATGACAAATTAATGAGCAATTAAATTCATTACATAGCTGTGCTGATTAAGTGTAGGTAGGTCAAGAAGACTTGGATAGGTTAAATAATCTGCAGGGAATTTGGAAGGAAGTACATAGGTTATTAGTTTCTACAGAAACATTTGCTACCATCTTCCCTTGCCTGCCTTCCCAGCCACGCTATAAAAAATTTTCATTCCCAAAGAGTACTGATTCAAAATTTCAACCTGTTTACTCATCATGGTTGCATCCTGGAACTATATGGGGAGTTATATACTCCTAGCAAATGCCATTCTCTTACCGTTTCAATTCCAGCAGAACAAAACTGGCAAGTGTGTTAGAAAAATACTGTTTTAGCAGAGTGGGTTTCCCGTAGCTGAGTCCTTTCTGGCAGGTTTTAAAGTGGTGCCAAGGTTCAGAACAGGATGGGGAGGCTGAGCGGGAGCCAGGCTGGTGGTGCATGAGGGAGCAGTGGCACTTGGTGAAGGCCTTCCTGTTTGTGAAACTTCATAGAGGGCATTAAAAAAAAAAGTTGGTCTGAAAACCAAATGGCACTGGAGACGAATGTCACCAGACTCATACACACAAGTAATTGATCTCCATTGCTTGTCAGGAATACTTTTGATGAGGGAAGTAATTTCATTGTCTGAAATACATTCCAATTTGTCAACAGTGCAGCTTTTTTATAGAAAAGGGATATATCCGAAGTGGCTGGTGCACAGAGGCTGGGAATTCTACCTTTTTTTTTTCCATAATACTGACTTGCTGCAAGTTTTCTGATGTTTGATCGGGAATCAAACGAATTTTTACAAATGCTGAGCACTCATACAGCCTTTGACTAGACATTTGCTGTATGAGGGTGGTATAATGTCTCCTTCTAACCTTTACTGCTCTTCCAGGTCTCTCTTTTATCGCACAAAGGTTTTTTTAAAAAAAACAGCTAACAGACATCCATTTGCCCACATATGCCTCCTTATTTTCAGTGACATGGGTGGCATTCACTGTTCACCCGTATAAGTAAGTACTTTAATTTTTGCCTGTCTGAATACGGTTAGAATCTGAGCTAAGCTCAGAGACACCATGAGGCCTAAGGTGGCCTACTTAGTCTTTATTTATGGGTGTAGCTGTTCTGGTAAGTAAATACACAGTACATACCTGACCTTTGTCCTGTAGACCTTTCTTGTTGCTGATTAAGCACTGGTTTCACTGACTCTGAAGCATGTTCTAGTGCTTTTTCATTTATTTACTGTCAGCCTGATGATAGCAGCTGTTAAATTTATCTGCGTCAGAGTGTTAATAACAGCCTACTCATAATTTTCCCAAAGCAGCCTACAGAAAGATTATATTGAGAAGTTGAAGGCTTGGTAGGCAAGCATTATTGGCTCTGTGTATTAGACCAACATGTTTCAAGGATGGATGCATAGTCACCATGGGACAACTCAGTGAAACAAGCATGGAGCTTTTTATTGCATGGTACTGTAGTGTATTACATATTAACTTGCAGTAATAAATGTGGCAAAACCAGTTTTACAAGAGCTATTAAAAAAAAAATGCCTCATACATTATTCAAAGTCCCCATGTATTTTATATTGCAGAGACAGTTTGAACTTCACATTTGTAGCACATCATCTGCCGAAAAGCCTTGTACTTCTGTGGCCTGGGCATAAAGTTGTGGTGAGCTCAGTGTGCGGTACTGTGTTGCATAGATCTGTATTGAGTCATAGGTCTGTTAAGGAACTGAATGCTCATAAATGAGTCAATTATAAAAGTAAACAGTGACGTCAGTTGGTGGCAGTTCTAGCAGATTTTATGAAACGATAGGGTTATCACGCTTCACTTGAAACAGAAATGTCTTAAAAGGGTGTTTGAAGGTACTCCCCAAATGTTCAAACAATAAGGTTAAGAACTTCCTTTCCCAAGGGATGATAACTATCAAAATATTATTGCAGTAAAGGTGAGTAATTAATGCCAGGAATGGATGTGACCCAAAGATGCCATCATCTTTTGGAAATTCAAAACTTGGGATGATCGGTATATTTCATTTTATTGTTGCAGTTATTTTTTAAATTTGGAAAGGAAAAATTAAGTTGTGCAGAACTCAATCATTCTTCAGCTAGTGGGTTTTAAGTATTTTGTCTACAAAGTGCTATAAAAAAAGAAATATTATGATGTATTTACCTATAAATAATTCACAATGCAATCACATTTTTAAAAAACTATTTATTTGTAATGGTCTGACTCTGTTCTGTATTAAGCAACTATTAACTTCATCTGCCTTTTCTTTTTTATAATATATTTATATCGACCAAAATTAAGATTTAAAATTAAAAGTTAATAATAACAAGTAGGGTTACAGACATTGTCCATGTCAGGTATCACAGGATCCATCTGAGCTAGGCTAATTCAAAGCACTTTGTTTTACTGTCAGGTTCCAGCTTTAACTTGTCCATGAACCATTCTGGACACTTGCAAGGGGAGGACTAAGGCAAGTGTGGGCGTTTGAGTAGGCAGCAGCAGGTGAGGAGTGGGAGGCAATACTGGAAAATTCAGGGAGAGGTTTGGATAAGATAATCCTTACTCTCCTCCTTCTACACAGAATTGGTAGAGAAGGCACCTTGACCTGCAATGCAGGTTTAAAATGCTTCAGGGATGCTCAGTCTTTCCAGCTGCTCAGATGTGTCTTGGGAGCTGCTAAGTCTAGTCTACCCTTGATTGGCTTGGAGTAGACTTGGGAGTGTAGGTTAATGGTTGGACTGGATGATCTTAAAGGTCTTTTCCAGCCTAAACGATTCTATGATTCTAAGTGACGACTGCTCCCTTTGCCCACCTTTATCCACAGCAGTGGGTACGGGCACAGGTGTAGGTGCTGCTCCGGCGGTTGGTAGTTAGCTTAGTGCCCCTTCTGAAACACTGCTCCATTTCTTCAGTGCTGGATGCTTTGTAGCAAAAGGGCTTGCCTTCAAACATGACCTAGCTAGAGCTTTATCAGAGGTTTTTCCATCATTTTTGCTGCTGCCAATCAGTATTCCCCAGTGCATGAGTCATATTAAGTACCAAATAATTTAATAATACTGTTACAGGAATTAGTGTAGCTCTGACAAAAGGAATAAATAAAAAAGCCTATAAGGTGAGAAAGCTTGGTTACTTCTTTCCAGACAGATTTTTCTCCTGAATCATGACAACAAAGCCTGGAGTATCCCAAACCAATCTCCTGAGGTATCCTTCTCAAATTAGTAAAAATTAGGCCAAGCCTGAACAGCTGCTTCAATATGTAGGATGCTGGTACTGCAGTTTAAGTGAAGACTGCTGTAAAAGGCTGAGTTTTTCTGTTTCAGCTGCATTATCGACATGTTTAATGCTAACCTTTCAGTAAATACATTTGTGTAAAATCTCTGATTATCCCATCTCTGTTATATCTGTGAGGGTCTCTATTAACTCTGCAAAAGTAGGACGTCCTTCAGGTTTCTGAAAAGAAAAGCGGAGAATAAATTTATATTAGCAAATTGATCAATTTTGCTATCAACCAGACTTCAGAAGATGGTTACAAGTACCTATGAGCTACCACATAAAAATTACATTTTTTTTTTTAATTAATACAAAAGAAAAGATCAAGTTTATCATTTGAGAGAAAAAAAAAAATCATCTGTTCTTCATGACACCGGCAGCATGAGCACAGCCACTTTTCAGGGCATTCCTAAAATTTCTTTATATTTATTTCAATTCTGGACCAGAACTCCTATAGCATTTCTCCCCTGCAAGGGGTCACTGGAACGCACTACATCTCAGGAAACCATGATACTGAGGAATGTTTCCTGGGCTGTTGAAGAACGATCATCACTGTTGTATCCTTCGATGTATTGCAGCTCAGCATGGAACAAACTCCTGGGTGACAGCAGACAAGAGAAGACAGAACTTCTTCCCCATCCTCTCTCTGCTGGCTGGCATCCTGATGGATGTTTGCAGTAAGCAAGCAAGCTAGATGCAGTTGAGATTTCAGTCTCTAAAGCTTTTTTTACTCAGGGTCTAAAAATTTCACACAGAGTTAAAAGATGGGCAAGAAAGGAGACAGCGGTAGCAACAAGGTTCCCCAGCTACCCTCAGTGTATGCCTGCTTATTTACATGAAAGCACTGCACACAAAGCTCTTCTGAAAGTACTTTTTGTCTAAAATTAAAGATTCATTTCCTGTAGACGCTAGAGAAGGAGGGACCTTAATGGATTACTCAGATGAAGAAGTTGATGAAATCAGTGTTTTGATATCGCTATAGAAAGAAATAGGTGCTGGAGAAATGGAGAAAGAACATCAAGTACTAAATCAGAATGGAGAGGGTGAAAGAGGTGCAGCCTAGGAGCTGTACTGATGTACAGAGGTACTGACATACACCTGAAAAACGGGGTTTAAAATCTGCATTTAGTGGGTGTGCCCACTTTGTATATGAATGTGTTAAGGTTATCATTCAGAGCAGAGCTAGAGAAAGCTATGCATGACACAGAGGTGGGAAAAAAGGTATTACATTTGACGCGGTAGAGAAGCAAGACAATAGTGGCAATATTCAAAACCCGTGATGGTCTAAGACCTATTGTACCGACAGTGTGCTTTGTATTTACTAGATGCAACAGTCAAAAGAAACAGAGGCTTGTAAACCTAGGTGTGATTTGTGAAAAGCATAGTGAGAGATACTGAGGATGCCACAGATGTGAAATAAGGATTTAATGCCTCATTTTTTTAAGATTGCTTTTAGATCCACATTATGAATTAATAATAAATATTGCAGGAAAAAAAAGGGCAACAAACCTCATGCCAACAGCTGTACATGACTTTGTACACAGTATGTGATGCCAAATGTGGTCGATAAAGTCGGTTACCCTGAGAAATCTCACGGACAACTTCAGAATTTGACTTACTTTCAAAAGGCATTTTGCCTTCTGTGAAAACTTCCCACATCAGTACACCTAGAAGCGAACCAAAATATTTAGGACGAAACAAAAACCCCAAACCCACAAGCTATTTAACAACATTAGCAGCACAAAAACCACTCCTGATTTTTTTTGTGTATTGCATGAAAACATGGGTGACGTGAGCTGGATGAAGACAGACTACCAAAAACATTTTCAACTGATACAATTCTGCTCTCTTTTAAGTCAGCTAAGATGGTGGTCCATGAAACTGAGATGAATATAATTTTGGCTAATGGAGACGTACCAAGAATGCACATTTCAGTCCAAATCTAATGTTCAGGCACAGAGCCTTTCTATTAAAAAACATACTCATCTAATATAGGCAAGATTTGAAAAATGGGAAGGACTCAAGCTTAAGATAGGTAGTGTCAGTAAAAAGTTACACTTTCTTAAATCACATCAGTAGTTCTAGGGAAGCACAGTATGTTGCACATTAACTTAATCAACTCACCAAATGACCAGACATCTGATTTGCTGCTATATTTTTTGAAATGAAAGACTTCAGGAGATGACCATTTGACTGGAAACTTGGCACCTGAAGAGCTGATATATTCGTCATCAATGACATACCTAAAGAATACGAGGAAACAGCATATATTTTAATGATAGTTAAATGGCAAGCAGTTCTGGCAACATTTCCACAGATGGTTCCATAAAAATTCCATAAAAATACAGTGTCAATTTAGAAACAAAGAAATGGTATCACTAATCTGATATAAAGTGCACACAGATACCCACACTGGAAGCTATGCACTTAAAGAGATTTCTGTTTAAATGAATGATTTCAATTGTTCATGACAAGTATGTCGGAATAAAACATTTTAATATGCTCTGTGAGACTGAAAGGATGGTTGCTGTTGTCATCTTCTGGGTATATCCCTATGCCATAGGCAGGAAAACCAGCAGCAATAGATAATTATTGTCTCTTTTTAAGAGTCCACTTTTTCAACCACTTGTACCCAAACACTACTGGCAGAGGGCTACAGTTTGTAACAGATGAGTGGAATCCACTGCCCTCACAGATGTTACTTCTGGCAAAGCAACACAGAAAGAAGTACACATACAAGGCAACAGCTCTTGCAGGTGCACTGGGAAGGTAATTTTCTTTGCCCAAGCTTATAGGAGCTGACCTTCCAGTTAAGGTGAAATTATATGCCCGATGCAGGCATTTATAGGGCAACATTTTAAAAGGCTATTAGACTGATTCCTACCTACATACAAGCTCTGTGCACATTTTCCTCAGTATTAATGTTCCTGAGCAGATGACAGATGTGTACTACACAACATTTGTTCTCACAAAAGGCATAATGCAAAGGCCCCTTTTAAACCACCTTTTAAAGGAGGTCACATTAAGAGAAATCATCTCTTCGTCTCCCTTTCTTATTTTGGTGCAGGAACAGAAAGATGAGAGGTTATTGGGTAAGGAACATACGAAATGACAGTACAAAATAACCAGTAGGGGCAGCTGTGTGAGCTCTGAATAATAAGATTGTGATCCTATCACCTCTCCATGGTCTTCCCGGGAGAGTGAGTACCTGTCCTAGAGCCACACCACTGGTCTCCACTTTTTGGCAGCAGTGAGCCATTCTGGTCCATTATTCTCAGACTGGATCCTGACAGACTTTGGGTCTCTTACTGTGTTTTCTGGTGCATTTGGATGAGTCCAGACCCCTGATATTGACCTACCCTTTTGTGGAGCAGTGCAACCAGCGGGCACTGCCATGGTCTAGGACAGCCTTTTGAAAAACAAGTATTTTAGTTATGAACTGCTGGGGTGTTGTAATCCTTAGGTTAGAAATAGGAGGCAAAGCCTAACGAAAGGTAAGCAGCATGGCTGTGCTGATGTCATGACTTGCAGCCACAGGGTGAATATCACCACCACCTCCTGCTCAGAGCCACGCGCTGCCGTTCAAGCTCGTCTGCCTGCAAAGTGAGCCGATTCAGTCTACTAATCCAGCAGAAAAAACAGCCAGTAAAACACAGAGGTGGAGAGCTTTGTGCTGGGCTTGCAAGGGGAAGGAAGGAAGGAAGGAGTGAGACAACCCTTTTGGGTAGCAGTCTGTCATTTGGTCAGCTCAGCACATCCTCTGGGGGAAGTCTGTGAGGGCAGAGCTACGTTTCTCTGGTCTGTGCTTGTCAGAGTGCCTTTTGCTCTCTTTCTCCATGTTTGGCTGGTCCTGTCATTAAGCAGAAAAACCACTTCCCTGCTAGAGCAGTACACATCACACTTCCTGCCCGCCCTGCTGGTCCTCCCTGCCTCCTGCCTGACCTACTCAGCTGCTGCCACCTCTAAAGGTCAGCACCAGCATCCAGATCTGTCCCTAGGGACCTTCTGTCCTCCCTGCTGCTCAGAAAAATTGGGGAACTTGTTTCTTCAAGCTTCTGGCATCCTTGTGCACGCTGGGTGTTTCTCTGTCCATCAAGTACTTCTGAAGTTTGCTTACTTGCCTTACACTCACCAGTAGCAAGAGGAGGACACAACATCCAGTTCATGGTACAACAGTTAAACAACATCGTAATTTCCATCAGAATTCAAAAATTGACCGCAGTGGGATTCCCCAAATCAGCAAAGCAAACAATGAGGTTAACTCAAGGTCATGCTGCAGCTGACTGAGAATAGGTACTCACTAAACCCGCACCAGTGGCCTCATACCTCGCCATGCCAAAGTCGGATACTTTAACGACGTGCTCAGCATTCACTAAACAGTTTCTTGCAGCCTGGGGAAAATGAGAGAAACATATCTGAAATCTGTGCTAAAGCATTTTAAGAAAAATACGACAGCTGATTATTTTTCTTTCAGCTCATACTGTTTATATTCTAAAAGGGGATGAGTGTCTTGGTCAAAAATATAAGCGAATTTCTGGCTTTGAGTCAATGAACATGTTTTGCTACTGTGTAGCTACACACTCATAGCATATATCAGCTAAAATGCTTGTAGTATGAGTTGCAATATTTTGACATATTGCTGCATGGTGAAAGAAATTTTAGGCTTCAGAGTCTAGTTATCCAAGCAGGTATCTTCCTGAACACTAGTATTAGGACACTCAATGTGAATTTTTAAGAATGTTTTGTGACTTTTTCAGTACAGAAATCAGGAATTTCTTGGAAATTTTCAAGATTTTACATTTCTTCAGGCAACAAGGGAGGAGAGCAGGAAGATTTCCTCTCTGCATCCAGATGCAAGCATTGAACAAAAAGCAGAGAGTAAGGAACCAAGTTCTTCTGTGGTTTCCTGTGTATGAGGGGTAGGGCAGAAAAGCCACCCAAATATCCCAGCATCAAGGTAAGTCAGTAGGGAGCAGAAAAAATGTAGATAGAAAAAGATTTTTGTTTTTTAAAAAAAATCCTTGTTGTTGCTGTCTTGCTCTAATTTTGGTTGTGTTGTGATCACTGCATGATACTCTTGTATTGGGATGTCCTAACACTGGCCTGCTCCAAGCTAATATCCCCATTTTCTCTGACTTCTCTTGATTATCAAGTAGTTTTTCCAGCTGTCCACAGACAAAAGAACAGCTGAAAAGTTTCAGTTTACAGGCAGGAAAACACTATTGGCTTCTTAGATCCTGCAGGGCTGAAGCCTTACAGGACATATTAGTGTCCCATAAAATGCAGTGGCATGTTCTGTACTGCCAGTATTTACCAAGAAGTTCAGAAAAGCTATTGTACTTACTAAATCACGGTGAATAAAGCCATTTCTTTCCAGGTATTCCATCCCTTCACACACATCCTGGCACATGCTCAGCAGTATGTCTCTGCCGAGTTTCCCTCGCCTTTGCCGAAGGTAGTTGAGCAGGCAGCCATTTTCCATGAATTCAGTCACGACGTAGAGAGGCTTGTGGTGTGTGCACACTCCATAAAGCTGGACCAGCTTCGGGTGGGAGAGTTTCCTGTTTAAACTCACATTTTAGACAGGCTAGCATTTGTCCTTGGCAGGTCACTACACCTTTGATTCTCACGATGGTTTCGAAAAATATTTTCAGTACTTGATAAACAGTATTCAATTCAAGTGGTCTCAGAGTTGTCCCACTGTCTAACACATTTCTGCCTACAATTTCCTCCAAAAAGTGTACTCTTTGAATTCATAATCGTTCATCAGTTATATAAATGCAGTGAATGCCAAGCTTGATTTGGATGATGTGAAATGGAAAGGCCTAGCTATGCCTGGCTTTCAGGGAGGGGACATGACCCTGCAAGGGTTCTTTTCTTCTGGGCTGTGCCAAGACCCAGACTGGATGTTTCCCTAATTTACAAAATTGGCAGAAATGGTAATATAGTTTCTCAAAAGCTTTAGTTAGGTATGAGCTCTGCCAGTGGTCCTAGAGGCAGTGAATTATGGATGAAAGAATAGTTGTAGCACCACATTTATTTATCAGCACATATCAGTATCAACTGTCAGATATAATAGCTTTTGTACTTACATCATCACTTTGGCCTCCTCGATGAAATCATCTTCAGACATTGCACCTTCATTAATTGTTTTGATGGCAACCTTGATGGTTGCTTTCCATTTACCCAGCTGAACGACTCCAAACTGCCCACGCCCAAGTTCTTTCATGAACGTCAGTTCAGATGGGTTTAACTCCCAGTCCTCTGTAAAAGCAACCCAATATGTTACAACAGTCAGGTCAGCTTTCCTGAGCCATGTTCCAGGAGACACGCCTTGCTATTTGCAGTTAATGCATGCAGTAAAACATCACAATTGTTCATCAGCTATAGCAGGAGTTTTAAATATCTGAAAATTCCCAGGTGCTCATATATGTTTATATGTGAGTGTTATTTTACAGCTTGTAGAATGTGATTAGTGTTTAAATTGCTTAATGGGGGAATGTCTGAGGCTTGAAGATAACACAAGTGTTTGGCTTTGATTATATATGAGAACTTTTCTGGCATTATCATATGTGATGTTGAACTCTGAACCAGTTCTGGATGGATAGTATTGCTACAGAAATAGTAACTGGCTGCCTCTATCGTAATAACAAAATAGTTCTGCCCTTCAGAAATATTAAGCCTTGAGATTAATGGGAACACTCACAGGAAAGATAATGAATTCTGGAGGTTCCTGTCATCAGCCAGATGATATGAACTTCCTGATCTATATACACAAAACAGGCATTTATTGCTTCTTTTCTAATACTGTGTAAGATTTCATTCTTATTTTTAAAACTTGCAGAACTGACAAGGAAAATCTTCCCCATAAATATTATTCATTTCAATTTCCTAAGCATTTCAATAAATCAGCCTTTGAAAAGCTATTAAATGTACATTTGAGTCTTAGGAAAGACTGCTTAGAAAAGTCCAGATATCTCTGAAAGGCACTGGTGGTTGTAACAGAACCACAGCAGTCGCTGAACAGAATGACTCAAGTCGGGTGTCTCATTTGGTACTGACACTTTACGAGGAAATGAGTGTTTCTGGTGAATATGCAGCTGCTTATGTGTTTCTTATTACTGGGAAATTTCACAGATACAACTTAATTCTTAGCTGAGTGAATGTGATCTAAATTCTTGCCTAGGCAGATACCTAAATCTCCACCAAAAGAAGATAAAAAATTTACCATAACTAAATCCTGCTGTTGCTGGTGAAGAACATCCAGCTGATCCAACTGGATGTCGGAGACGAGTGATAAGACCTGTAGGGGACAAAGCAACAATATTCTGTTGACCAATTACTGCATTTTAAAGTACACTATATCATACCTCTTCTGAAACAAAAATATTTGGAATCTGATCTACATTTCTTATTTCTTGAAGTTACTTTTGTTTACAGCTTGTTCAGATAAAACACTACAGTGAGAAGAAATGGAGGAAGACTATTCAATAGGGCCCTGACTGCAAAAGTGTCTATACTTTCATACAACCAAAAGTGATACTCTTGCTTGTTTGTATGATGTTAGCGATCTTAAATACGATATTATATCACCCACCTAAGCACTTTCTTCCAGCACGATTCCTCAGGATTGTTTCCCATTGCAAGAAATATTTTTGTGTCTGTCATTCATTTTCTTTGAATCATGAGCCCACAGTACCAGTGATTACATCCCTCACCAAGGAGTCCCTATGTTCATTCATTCTTCCCACTGTTACTTTCATGTCCTGTTCTGCTTCATGTGTTTCCTACAATCCTTCTCCCTCCAGCAAAAGGCTCTGTCCATTCCCATACCTTCCTTCCTCACTAGTGCGAGGAATCACTGTGTGTTTTCCTACCTCCACTCATTCAGGGTAAAAACATTTGATATTGTATTAAAATGATGGGCAGAACCAAGGTGAAGGGCATTTTTTAATGCTAAAAATTATAAAAGGCCAACAATTAGAGATGGCTAACTCTGGTAGGCTGCAAACCAGTGTTAGAGAGTCCTTGTGCTCCCTAATTCTACCTTTGATTGTTTGTGGGGTGGGGTTTTTTGCCAAAATCAATAGAATGCTGCCTGCTGATGCACAGCGTAGCTCCTGCTTTTCTTAAATTGTATGCATGCGAGTCCTTGTTGCAGACAAGGAAAGAATTCTGATCAAATTTCATCCAAGTCCCATTTAGTCAAATATGAACCAAGAGAATACAGAGCAGGTAAATACATTAGGCTGCTAGCTTTGTGAAATTCATTTAATACATGTAGACGAGTTTGTGGGTTCCCTTTCCCCAGGGTATATGCACACTACAGCTATGACTTTGGCAGAAAGGATTATGGCATATTCAAATTCATTACCAATAGAAAAACTTGTATCTCTTTTTATAAGGAAAATATTAGAGGAGAGCGATTTCCAGTCTGTCAAACTCCTGAGGAGCTTCAAATCATCTGTTGTAAAACCTTATCAGCTTGCATGCATTACCTGCAGCATTGTGTTGATGATACTCAATGAGTTCAGGAACAGATGAAAAAAGGTATTTCTCTGCTACATAATATTGTCCCAAGTGGTTTTTCTTAATTTGATAATGTCGAATATCTCCATTATGACTTCTGAAATCAACAAAGGATTATAATTTTCACTAAAATTTCACTAAAAATAATTTTATATATTATATATAT